TGTGTCAAAGAAGGAAGCGGTGTAGCTGTCAGTTCAGCTGTTTCTGTGGTGTGGAACTGGGTAGCTTTTAGATAGCAACTTGCAGAGAGAGTAGAGTGGGAGAAAGGTTTACCCAGGAAGACAGTTTAATGGGCAAATAGCACAAAGTGCATTATCTTACTTTGATTAATTAAAAAAACCCAAAAAAGACAACTTCATGAATCTCAGCATATTGCATATACAAAACAATCAGCCTAAGGTAAATGGACAGATTATTCCATTAGACTTAATTAGCTTGTTTTGTCATAATTGTAACTTTGTGGTGGCCTTGCCTTTACTCTGCCAGGCAAGGTACTGACTCTTGGGAACTCATTGCTAGGTTTTATGATCCAGCACAGAGACTAGGGACTTTTGAACAACTTTCATTTTGAGTAAGGCTGTTTTGGGGGGTGGTAGTGGTGGTATCATATTTTTTAAGTAGATTTCTAGTGCAACAGCTTTTGTTTTCTACTTGGGGCCACTGTGGGCCATTTCTAAACCAGTCTTCCTCAACTGCAGAAGAGACTAACACACAAAATGATAGGAGGAAAGATGAGTTCATTGCTTCAGTCCTAAGTACAGACTAAAAGCCTCTCCAGTACACACGATGGCAGGACCATTTGATGCTTCTCTTGTGGTGTTGCATCTCTATGAAGAGGCTACTTTGCCAATAGCTTGCATTTTAAAGGCTGGTGGAATTTGAGAGGCTATGAATTTTGGAGAGAAAATACTGATGATTAAGGGCATAGTGCTTGACTCCAAAATACATTAATAGAACTATAACAAAATGAGGCACAGGAGCAGACAACTGCAGTTTACATGGATTTAACTGCTGGCCAACTCCTGTTTGTATGGGCATCCAGCTACTAATGTCCTTCAATTCCAGACATGACTTCATATCCTAAGGCATTTGCCATCTAACTGTACTTTTGAAAGCCAGAATGATCACTCATGCTCTCACAGACCACAAGAAAAAGCCACAGCCACCCTGAAACTTCTATCCACAATTGGTTTGGTCCTGATGAACGCCTGGACCACAGATCAGATCATAGAACTGGAGCAAAGAGAATGTAACATAGCAGAAAGTTTGATCTCTGGCTGTCCAGGAGAAGCAATGCTTCAATGCTGCCACTTATGAGAGCCATCCATATTGGTTCATTTACATTCTTTAGTTTTTGTTACCATTTCTAATGGGACTTGCTGAGTACATATGCTACGTTTTTATTGCTACTGGGAGTGCTATGACCCTCTGCAATTCATTTATTAGGGATAGAGAGAGTTTGTCCTCCATGTTGTCCAAGGAACCGGAACAGAATTTACTCTTCATCAAACAAAAGCAAAGAGGGGAGAATAGGTGACTAGGACTGACCCTTAAAAAGTCCCAGTGTTAGTTTTTACTTGACAAATACTCAGGTTGTACTCAGCAGGCACTTTGTCTTCACTAATGTGCATTAGGTATTTTAAAATTTAAGAACAGCACTACTACAAAGAATTATTTAAGGAGCAATTAATTTTGAGGCAGCAATGCTGACATCTTGGGCTCACACAAGCATCTCTCTTTTCCTTCTGATCATTGCAGACTTCCCTGCCCAGTAAAAATCTCTCCAGAGTCTTGGTACAGGACTCTCAAGAAGGACGAGCAATCCAAGGGAATTCCCTTTATTCTTCAGATCTTTTCTTTATTTGGTCAGTATAGCGTCACAGACAATTTGGATAAAAGAGGTAACTGCCCAGCTATTGACCTTTGACGAATTTCCTTCTTTTCTCTTTCTTTTCTTTCTTCCTTTCCTTCTTTATTTTTCTTTTTCTTTTGTCAAGTACAGCTAAGAGAGGAATATATGAGATCTACCACAGATGAACTGCACTGGAACAGGAAAGCTACAGTTTTTCCTCACCACCTAAAGCACAGGCATAGGCACTCCATGCTATGAAATGGAGTAACATAAAAATACTGTCATACCTGCCACTGCACTGGGAACTCCAAAAGCTGAGAAGCTGCAGAGAGGGGATACCCAATTTTAGGTGGCTGCTCCAGTGTAAGATCTGGTAAAGTGGATGGAAACTGTATGGGTCAAATTCCAATGAGTTCCAATTCCAACATTTGATGTTGTAGGTTAAAAAACTGCAAGCTGCAGTGGGAAATATGGATCACTGAACACAAAACCACAAGCAACAAGAAACTGACAACACATATGTGCTTGATCTCAGCACCGCTGCCTGTAAGTTGTTGTCAAACCAACAAAAACATTTCAGTGTCTGGAAAAGATGAACAGCCTGGTTGCCAAGTCATGGTCTGAACTATTCCAGAGGGCAGAAAAGACAGATGGACTGCTGGTAAAGAACAAGGCTATTTAAGGAGACTCATTCTGGCCTAATGGAAAATGCAAGGATATAATTGTCAATTATTTTAAAATAAAACAACATTTCAAATCCAGGGAAAAAAAAAATTCACAAAGAAGCACAAGAGGGAATCTGGTTGGATTCAGTGGCAGCTTAGGCCAGGTACAAAAAGCAGAATTTGCTGCTCTTTAGAAGCAAGAAAATTAGATGTTTTCTACAAGATGATGATTCTGAACAATGCTTCAGTCTAAAAAGCAAACTCTAAATGCAGCTGCACTGTTGAACCAAGCACTGACACAAAGCTGATTTGATTACAGTGGCTTGGGTTATCAGAAGGCAGCCACAAAAGTGATCAGTTATTTTAAAATATATAACCATATGTTTGTATCTACAAGTCATACTGATGATCTGCTTCCTTTTTCATCCCCCTGGGCAGCTGCAACTTGTGTGCTGCACAGTGTTCCGTATTAAGAATTCCTATGCGAAATTCTGTCTGTCACTCAGAATGCATGTTACAGAGGAAACACGCAAAGACAAATAAACAACACGCCCAGAGTATCTGTGAGAAGGGCCCAACACACAACTGTCAAGGGGAATTATGATTGTTAACAGCCTGAGACTTCTGAATGGCTGCCTCGTCAGACACTCAGAAGTCAAAACACAATATAACATGATTTATAATGAGGGAAGGCACCAGAAAATGTTTTGGTTTTCTTTAATATTAATGCTCTATTCAGAGCACAATGACTATTACAAAATGGGCCCAAACTTTGCTCTAGAATTCAGCCAAAAGTGCAAGTTTAAAAGAATTCTCAACGTTTTTATGTCCCGTTTCTTAGCAGTTCCTCTGCTAGCAATTACATATTACAGCACACAGCTCTATAAATGCTGGTGACAGCCCACTAGTTGAATGTCATGGTGTATGACAAGACTTTTACAAGAACATTCCCCAGAACTTCAAAAAATTAACTACCTTGAACAGCTTTTGTAATTCCTATTCAGGACTGAAGGAGATTAAATTTTTCAGAGATTTAAATACAAATGCACTAAAGAATATCTTGTTTATACAGTGTTCCTGTCTGCGCTGCAAAGCTGTGAAATGACTATGGTGCTTGTTGACATCACAGGATGTATTACTTTCTGGGTTCTAACGAACCAATAATACTTGATTTTGACGGCCAGAACATCCTTCTGTCTTGTTGAATCCCCTGGGTCAAACTTAAAGTGATAAGGCAGGGAAGAGTTCCAAGACACAGCATAGGAAATTCAGCAAGTATAAACTGGATGTGGAAATGAAGTTGGTGATCTGATATGCCACTGACATAGTACCTCAGATATAAGAGAAAAAGTAAATTATGCTTCCTAGCTCTCTGTGTCAGTGGAGGTGCTACAGGCATTTTACAGTACCCCTCAGGGCCCAGTCAAATTTTCATCTGAATGGTTTTATTCAGCCTTATAAACTCCCACAGAAACTTTGCTGCACATAACAGTCTACCCATCTATTCCCGTAGTGTATGCAGACAGCTCCATGCCTCTGGCCTGGCTGCATATTTTAAAGAAGCTTGGGGTTAGGACTGTGGTGTATCAGAGTCAAGGCCTCTGATAGGAGAATTGGGGTATTTAAAGTAACTACACAGCCCAGACAATATTCCTGTGACCTGTGTGTAACTGCCTGCTACATGACATCTTGGGTCAATTTCCATTCCTGGCCACCCTGTAAGAGTGGCTTGAAGGACAAGGCCAGACTGGGTATTCATTCACACTTGGTGTTTGTAGATGGCAAAAATGTTTGCACCACTTGGATTTTATTGAGTGAATCCATCTCCAGGGGTGATATATTAAAACAGAAAAAAAAAAATCTGACTCTGTTGCTATAAAGGCCTGTTACAATTTCCCATTGACAGAGAAATTCAGTTGCTGGAAGTCCTAGACAGCTGTTATTTAAGGATTTCTACAGATAATGTAACAATGGGTGTTTCCAGAAAAGTAACTGGAAATGCTAGGGAGAAAAAATTTGTCTTAAATGCCTAAAATTAGATATGACCAATAAAAATTCTGTGGGCTTGGGAACTAATTGATTCCTACCTAGGTCAGACAAACAGTTCTTGAGATGGCTGAACACTATGTAGTTTTACTTTACTATGTAGCTTTATTTTTCAGCCTTGAGAGTGTTTGCTCTCATACTTAACATTGCACTCAGGGCCTCTGTGTGCAGACATAGGGAGGATTGGTAGAATTCTTAGTGCTGCACTGATATTAGAAACATTCAGAAGTGACAGTGTTGTTTTGTTGGCTAGCAGCTGCACAGAAAACTCTGGAAAGGTATATTGGTGAACCCCATGTTCCATAAGTCTGTGACCCAACTCAACTTCTATTCCGTCATTATTAGCACAATTCACTTAGGATACATGAGGATTGGATCAAATCTGAGAGAAGAGTACAGTTAGCCCTAAGGAAGTTGATGCCAAACAGAGAAAGGATGAATGCCATCATGCACATGACCTAGGACCAGAATGTCGAGTCTTGTGTAGTTCAGGCCAGGAATTGTTTGCCTTCATGTAATTCAGTGTGTAAGGTGTGTCATATGCCCCAGGCTGAAACCAAGGTTAAAGGCTACTGTCATCACTGGCACATGAACTTACCCATGAAGAAATACTCTGGAGACTTTTTGTCTGAAGCAAAGTCTGCCATAACCCCACCAAACCGCAGCCATAGACCAAAGGCAATGACAACCAATCCTGCCAGCTGGAAGATAAACAGACCAGTCAATACTTTAGTAACAGTTGTCTAGAGATCATCAAAGAGGTGTCCCTGGCAGCATATGCTTTCTTGAAATCCCACAGCTCAGGACTGTGCTGTCAGAAAATTGAAGAAGCACTTGCCAGTGTCTAATTATAGTGCAATTTATTTCTTTTGCCTGCCTTCCTTCCTTCCTTCCTTCCTTCCTTCCTTCCTTCCTCCCTCCCTCCCTCCCTCCCTCTTTCTGTCTTTCTTTCTCTCTCTTTCTCTCTCTTCAGTGTCGTGGTGTTTCTGAACTTGCTAGTGTCTTTCACACCTTGTAAGTAAGCTCATTTAGTCATCAAAACTTGGCCTGAATTGCAATGGGGAATGGAATGGGGTGGAGGTGTTTGAGCATGTGGAGGGGAAATGAGTGCCCATGAGAAGAACAGACAGGCTGCAAAATCAATGAGGAACTCTTTAACCCTCAGAAATGCACTGTACTCAGGCAGTATTTCAGGAGGCCACTCAGTGTCTGGGTCTGGTATTAAGGTGCTGTTACTGTAGGAAAAGCACCTCATGGGGAAGTGCTGCATGATCAGGAGTTAACCCCTGCTGGCTTGACACACACAACTTTAAGGGCAGAAGTAACTTAATTGACTCTTTTTTCAACCCTCTTGGCTGGTTTAGGGTTAAATAGCAACCTCTTGGGCTGAGAGGTGCCCCCTTCCCCTGTATGTATCACAGATCCAGCTCCATTGGCATGGGATATATGATGCTGTAGAGACACCAGTTGGACATCATCATCATACCAGACTACAGGAGTTCATCAGCCATTTCAGAATTGCTGCTGCTGTTCAGTTCTAAGAAGGGTTCTGTTTAGAGGCTTACCGGAAAGATATGCTTGTATTGTTCTTAGGGATGTGCTGAAGTTAAGTGTGTTTGGACCAGTTATGAGAGGGTATTTTTCTGTAAACCACCATGGGACCCTCTATCAGAATGAGAATGTAAAAGGGTTATCACAGTGTACAATATCTTGGATCACAGAAATGACTAAGAAGTGGTGGATGCTGCCAAATGCAAGGAAAACTTCCCTTTAATGTGAATAAGACTAGACCAAAATGAGTGTCAAGGCATGTGGTCTCAGACTCGTTGCATGCCGGACATATTATAAGCCTATCAGGCAATGGTATGCCCTGGCAGACAAATTCAGCATCCTGCAGGACCATGCACAACACTCTGCTACAGTTCTGATCGTGGCCCAGGCACCTAGGTCTGTAGCAACTCCGTAACCTCAACAAGGTTCACAAAACACTTGCTGCTTTCCATATCCTTGGCAGCCTGGCATGGTGCTCTTTTAATCTGTCCTGCATTGCCTTGGAGTTGATTCATTTGACATATCTACAGCAAGCAAAACAAGCAGGCAGGCGTATGGCTGAAGAGCTTGGGATCACAGATTTTTCTCACAGAACAGCCCCGGGTGTGAGGGTCCCCTGCCACCCTCGTCATAGCATTTGAACCTCCCTGCTTGCAGGCGTGGGCTCAGCCTTTGGACTGCCAGAGCACACTAGTAGCCCCCTCCTGTCAGTCCACGCTTCTAAGTGCCTCTAGCAGTTGGGATGTGTTTGAAATTAATGTCCCCAGTCCAGCTGAGATTGTTTCTTCCAGCTCGGTGAAAAGGCAGATAACAAAACGTAGCAATTGTCACTTTTATGAAACAACATAACACAAGGCTTTGTCTTTCTACTGACTTGCAGCTGCAGCTGGACAACATCACTCTGCTCCTACAGTCTGAGCACAGCAGCACTGTGTACCCAGAGCTTGCAGTGCTGTCACCGAGAGGGAAAAGCATTTGGTTTAACTATATTTCAGGCATAAAGGAGACAAAAGCCCAAAACCGCTTGCTCCACAGAGGCTGAACAGGGTTATTTTGTGACTTCTTTTTAAAAAACAATGAATCAGAAAGAAAGGAAAAGACATTTAAGAAGATAACATTGTAATTGTTTTCCAGTGTGAAAAACTGGAAAGCTACTGGAAGGGAGAACACAGCATGAGGGAAAGTGAAAGAAAGTAGAAAGCTTGAATTCAGTTGTACAAGGGAACACTCAGACTATTAAATAGAGGCTCAGTGAGGGGAGAATGGGCATTGCATTGTCTGAATCATTTGGTGGTTCTGCAGTAGACATAATTCATTGCCACATTAGGGTAGCTTTTAGCAAAGTAAGTGCAATATGATGCAAGGACTTTCTCTTAGGATGAACTTGTAAAAGTAGCAGCTGTTGGCTCTCTATTTGAAATGACATTATTAAAAAGCATCATGATGCTGTGAGGAAGTGTTCCGCTGTGGTGCACTGCCTGGGATATTGGGAGAATGTCTCACAGCCTCCTGTTTGAACCTTTATGCTTGTTGAGGAAATGGCCACTACTTTAAGTTATCAGTTAAAAAAAAAGCTGTCTTTTCTTAGCAATGTCACCTAGCATCAAATTCGTATTTTCCCGGGAAAAGCTGTGACTTTATAGCAGCGAGTACAAGCCAGGAGCGCTGGCAGGGCCTCCTGCACAGCAGGCTCCGGTGACCTGTCCTGCAAGCGCTCCTCCGCGGGACCCGCGCCCTTCCCCAGATCTCGCCCTGGCGCGGGGCAGTCCCGGCGG